CGGTTCAACGGAGGTCACGGCGGATGCTAGCTGCAAGTCGGGCGTGTCCCTCTACAGGAGGGAATTTCAAAAATAGTCAAATCATAGTATGGGGGCGACTTATGTATTTTTCTTGCCATTTTGGAGTATTTTGGGGTTTCTGTTTTTCGTCCAAAATCCGCCTGTAGGAGGACAGGCCCGACCTAATGCTAGCTGCTAGCTTTAGGTCGGGCATGTCCTCTTACAGGCGGATTTTGCACGAAAAGTAGAACAAGAGCGAACGAAGGCCCCCAAACAAGCAAAAAGAGTCAAAGAATCGCCCCCATATCATTTTTTAAACTTTTTGGGAATATTCCTCCTGTAGGGGGACCCGCCCGACTGAATGCTAGCTCAGAACCCGGACCCCCTCGCGGTGTGAAATAATCACAAGCGGGAGGTGTTTCTTGGCCATTTTCGGCCTCCTGCAGGGGCCCTTGCTGGGCGTCGGGAGTGTTAAAAGACGACTCGGGATGAAAGACCGGTCCAGGAGAAGGTGTCCAGACATCTGGAGGTCGACATGATGAAATAATCGCGACGTCGGGGGTCTGGGTACGGAGTGCTCGGTCGTTGTCGTCGTCGACGTGGTCGTGTTCGTCGTCCTCGTCTCGGTCGTCGTCGTCGTCGTCGTGGTTGCCGTCGTCGTCCCCAGAACTCCAACGTAATGAAAATTCAAGACATAATATTTTTCAAATTTCCGGCCTCTGGGGGCCCTCGCCGGGCCCCGGAGTGAGTCAGAGTGTTCGGTCTCCGTTTGGGCTTGCTTTGTCTGGGCTTACAGTGACTCCGCATGGTAAGGATGAGCAGCTTTCCAAGGTTCCGTGCCTTCGCATGCTTCCTCCTCGGCCAATCTTTGACCGCTTTCGCTGGCCGCGCCCCGCTCGCAAAGTCTGTAGCCTCTCCTGAGCCGCTGCCCGCTGTCGTCGCCTGCCGTCGGTCGTTCGTCGTCGTCGGGTGGTCGGTCAGTCGTCTTCGTCGCCGCCTGCTGTCGGTCATTCATCGTCGTCGTCGTTCTCGCCGTGGTCGTCGTCGTCGTCGTCGTTGTCGTCTCGGTCGTCGTCGTCGTCATCTCGGTCGTCGTCGTCGTTGTCGTGGTTGTCATCGTCTTCCCCAGGCGTCCAGCGTTTTGAAAATGCAAGACGTAAGATACAGACATATATATATATGTATGTATATATATACATACATATACGTACATATATATATATGTGTATATATATATGTATGTGCTCAAGGTTCGGTCTCTGGAGACCCTCGCCAGGCCCCGGGACTGTCAGCACGGGCCATGGGGAAAGGGTCGGGACTTCCAGGGAACGGCGGGTAATCCAAACCGTGAGTATCCCTTCGCTTAACCGTGAGTGGATCTTCGCTTGACCGTGAGTGATTGAGTGCACGCTGTGAGCCCACGCTGTGAGCCCACGCTGTGAGCCCACGCTGTGAGCCCACGCTGTGAGCCCACGCTGTGGTGAGTGCTCGCTGTGGTGAGTGCTCGCTGTGGTGAGTGCACGCTGTGAGCCCACGCTGTGGGCTCACAGCGTGTGTCGTGGTGGTTGTGGTGGTGGGGTGTTGGTGTGTGTGTGTGTGTGCGTGCGTGTTGGGTGTTGTGCGGCGTGCGGTGGGCGGTGTGTGGTGCATTGTGTGTGGTGTGTGGCGTGTGGCGTGTGGCGTGTGGTGTGTTGTGTGTCGTGTGCGAATACGGCGCATGGGTGTTGTGTGTTGTGTGAGTGCACGCTGTGAGTGCAAGGTGTGAGTGCACGCTGTGAGCCCACAGTGTGAGCCCACGCTGTGAGCCCACGCTGTGAGCCCACGCTGTGCGCCCACGCTGTGAGCCCACGCTGTGAGGTCACGCTGTGAGTGTACGCTGGGGTGAGCCTACGCTGTGAGCCCACGCTGTGAGTGCACGCTTTGGTGAGCCCACGCTGTGAGCCCACGCTGTGAGTGCACGCTGTGGGTGCACGCTGTGAGCCCACGCTGTGAGCCCACGGTGTGAGCCCACGCTGTGAGCCCACGCTGTGAGCCCACGCTGTGGGCCCACGCTGTGAGCCCACGCTGTGAGCCCACGCTGAGAGCCCACGCTGTGAGCCCACGCTGTGGCGAGTGCCCGCTGTGAGTGCACGCTGTGGTGAGTGCACGCTGTGAATGCACGCTGTGGTGAGTGCACGCTGTGAGTGCACGCTGTGGTGAGTGCACGCTGTGGTGAGTGCACGCTGTGGTGAGTGCACGCTGTGAGTGCACGCTGCGAGTGCGCGCTGTGAGTGCGCGCTGTGAGTGCACGCTGTGAGTGCACGCTGTGAGTGCACGCTGTGAGTGCACACTGCGAGTGCGCTCTGTGAGTGCACGCTGTGAGCGCACGCTGTGAGCGCACGCTGCGCGCCACCTGGTGAAACAGACCGTGAGCTCACGCTGTGAGTGCACGCTGTGGGCCCGACGGAATTTCGAATTGCCTGCGCGTTGGATTTCCCCGCGCGGCCGATTTCCTCTTGTTTGTGTGTGTGTGTGTGGGTGTGTGCGTTTGCGTGTGGTGGCCGTGGTGGGAGTGGTTGCGGCTGTGATTGTGGTGGTGGTGGCGATTGTGGTGGCGGTATCATTGGCGGTGGTGGTGGTTGTGGTGGTGGGGTGGTGGTATGTGTATGTGTGTGTCTGCGTGTCTGTGTGTGTGCGTGTGTGTCGGGTGTTGTGCGGAGTGCGGCGCTCGGTGTGCGGTGGGCGGTGTGTTGTGTATGGTGTGTGGTGTGTGGCGTGTGGCGTGTGGCGTGTGGCATGTGGCGTGCGTGGTGTTGTGTGTCGTGTGTTGCGTGTGGTGCATTGCATGAGGTGTGAGCCATGTGGTGTTTTGCGTGTGGTGTGTTGCGTGAAGTGTGTATGTGTGTGGTGTGTGGCGTGTGGCGTGTGGTGGGTTGACGCCACACGCAACGCCACCACGCACACAAACGCACGCACACACACACACACACCACAGAGGAAATCGACCGCGCGGAAAAATCTAGCGCGCAAGGCATTCGAAATTCCGCCCGCCCCACAGCGTGCACTCACAGCGTGAGCTCGCAGTCTTTCTCACCGGGTGGCGCGCAGCGTGCGCTTACAGCGTGCGCTCACAGCGTGCGCTCACAGCGTGCGCTCACAGCGTGCCCTCACAGCGTGCACTCACAGCGTGCACTCACAGCGTGCACTCACTCGGCTTACGCTGCTGCGCGTGCCCGCCGCGGTGAGCCAATGCTGTGGTGAGTGCACGCTGTGAGTGCACGCTGTGAGAGCACGTTGTGAGTGCACGTGGCGACTGCACGCTGTGAGTGCCCCCCATGAGCGCACGCTGTGAGTGCACGCTGTGAGTTCACGCTGTGAGTGCACGCTGTGAGTTCACGCTGTGAGTGCACGCTGCGAGCACACGCTGTGCGTGCACGCTGTGGGCTTGCTCAGAACAGCGTGCACTCACAGCGTGGTTGGCCAACGCTGCTGTGCGTGCCCGCCGTGGTGAGCCCACGCGTGCACTCACAGCGTGCACTCGCAGCGGGCACTCACAGCGTGGGCTCACCACGGCGGGCACGCACAGCGTGGGCTCACAGCGTGGGCTCTCTGCGTGGGCTCACAGCGTGGGCTCACAGCGTGGGCTCACAGCGTGGGCTCACAGCGTGGGCTCACAGCGTGCACCCACAGCGTGCACTCACAGCGTGGGCTCACTACGGCGGGCACGCACAGCGTGGGCTCACAGCGAGGGGTTACAGCGTGGGCTCACAGCGTGGACTCACAGCATGGGCTCACAGCGTGGGCTCACAGCGTGGGCTCACAGCGTGGGCTCACAGCGTGGGCTCACACCGTGGGCTCACAGCGTGGGCTCACAGCGTGGGCTCACAGCGTGCACTCACAGCGTGCACTCACAGCGTGGGCTCACCACGGCGGGCACGCACAGCGTGGGCTCACAGCGTGGGCTCACAGCGTGGGCCCACAGCGTGGGCTCACAGCGTGGGCTCACAGCGTGGGCTCACAGCGTGGGCTCACAGCGTGGGCTCACAGCGTGCACTCACAGCGTGCACTCACAGCGTGCACTCACAGCGTGCACTTACAGCGTGCACTCTATCACTCACGGTTAAGCGCAACGCACCTCACGATTAAGATCTACTCTCCCAGGGAACTCGCAGAGCAAGACAAACACATCAGACGTCCTGGCCTCCCTCCTCCTGCCCGTCCTGCCCCATCCCCCTTGTCGTGCTGGCCGTCCTCCTCGCGTCCTCCACCGCGTGCCCGCCCTCCCCTCCTAGGGCCCGCCGCGGCGGGGGGGGGATGCTCACGGGGTGGGCGGGTATCGCGCCGAGGTCACGGCATCGCCCCCGATCGGTGTCATGGCCCCCCCCTTCTTTACCTTGATGTGGGCCTTTGGCCCACCTGGGCCGCGTCGTCAGCCGTCTCCTCCCTGGCCCCCTTCCACATCCCAAGGGAGGGCATGGGGGGGGGAAGGCGGCAGGGGGGTGCGTGCCCGGGCGGGCAGTGCAGGGACGGAGGTGGCGGGCGGTGTGTGTGTGGGTAGGGAGGGCAGAGATCGGCGGTTCGCGAGGGGTGGAAGTGAGAAGGAGAAGGCCTCTCAGAAGGCTCGGAAGTCCTCCGGCCTTCTGAGGAGAGCTTTCTGAGCCTTCCCTGGAGACGCACAAAAAACACCTCTTCAGAGGGCGCGAGGACTTCTGAGGAGTCCCGCCGCCTTCTGAGAAGGCCTTCTCCCTCTCACTTCCCCCAGTCGCTCGCCGCCGAAGAGAACTCGGGGGACGGTCCCGGGGGAGGGGACTGCGAGAGCAGGAGAGGACGGCAGGGGGGAAGGGCGGCCGTGCCCCAGAGGCCTCGAGGGTCGCGGCGTCGCGCAGAGGGGCGGCCTGCCCCTCCTCCTCCTCCGTAGCCACTGTGGCTCAAGCAGCGTGTTGCCGTTCATGATCGCGGAGGGCTTCCCCCGCGCAATAATGTAGTGTGCCATCCCCCGTGGGGCGCTTGAGCGACGCGAGGCGAGATCAGGATGCGCGGGCTGCCGCTCCTGGCCACAGCCGCCTGCGGATGGGCTGCGGCGACCCGGGTTTACGCCGACGTCCGCCACGAGGACCTGCTGCAGGAGCTGGAGGCCCTGAGAAGTGAGGTCGAGCGCCTTCGCGGGCGGGTGCGCGTCCTGGAGTACGAGAAGGAGGTTGACAGCCAGAACGACACTGTGGCCGCCAGCGTCCTCGAGGCCTGGGGCGCCTCCACGAACCTGCGGCGTTCGCTGGGCAAGCGGGCTTTGGTCGTCGCCGCCTCGCAGGCCAGCAATGTTTCGACGGAGGGCGAGCCCGAGCCCTGGACGGGCGACCACTGGGGCGTCTCAGGAGTGGAGGGCGGGAGCGACAAGTTCACGGAGTGGCGAACGGAAAAAGGGGGCGGTTGGGGTTCATTGATCTGCGCCGTCCTGTTTATTGGCGTGTTTGGGTCCGCCCCGCTCGTGCACAGTTATGCGTTAGGTACTAAAGCCTTCACGAAGGTTCACGTCATCGAGAGCGTGTTCCTGTATACGTGGTTGTCTGTAGGAATCATTGTATTCACACAGCACATCGAGTTCCAGTCTCCGCACTTCAGTCAGGTTCGCACCCTCAGCATCGAGGAGGCGGTCTACCTTGTGGCCCAGATCGTCACGACGGTCGGCTATGGGGACATCACACCTGCACACCCGAACGGGCAGGTGTTCGTCGGATTCTTCGTGTTTTTGGCCATCATGCTCGCGGGCCAGATGATCTCGGAGCTCACGCAGTTGTACGAGGCGCGCATTGGGGTGCTGCTCCGCAAGGCGTCCAAGGCTATTGAGGTTTTGGGTGAGACTGTGAGCGTGAAGCTGACGTCTCTCCACTCCAGCAATCAGCTCCAGCTTGAAGCCGAGAAAGCGGATGAGGTCAAGCCTCGGCGACGGCACGCGGTGTGGATCGCGGCGGTGCCGATGATGCACAGCGCCCTCGCCTTCTCGTTTTTCGCGGCAGTCGGGGCGATCTTCTTTGTCATGTTCCCTGGCGAGAACAAGACTCCGTTGCAAGGGATCTACATGTCGTTGATCACCCTCTCCACCGTGGGGTTCGGAGCGTTCACGCCCACCACGCACGGTGGCATGGTCTTCTCGGCGTTCTGGATGCTCTTCGGGGTCGCGTCACTGGCTTCGCTGGTATCCAGCCGCGCGGCCTTCGCATTGGCACTGAGGAAGTACGAAGCGGGCACGGACGACTCGTCCTCCGAAGCGACGGACCACAGCGCATCGGAGGCTTCGGAGGAGGAGTCGCGCGAGGGCCCTGCAGGGCCGAAGGGGGTGCAGGAGCAGAAGGCGGAGCAGAAAGCGCAGGACGCTGGTGCCACCCTGCACCCGGATTCGGAAGTGATGACCTGCCCCCACTGCGGCAAGCCGTCCATGGTCCCCAAGTAGGGCGAGCGGGCGAGCGATGAGGCCCGCCTGGGACCCCCCTCCTCCTCCTCCTCCTCCTCCTCCCCCTCCTCCTCCTCCCCCTCCTCCTCCTCCCCCTCCTCCTCCTCCCCCTCCTCCTCCTCCTCCTCCTCCTCCTCCTCCTCCTCCTCCTCCTCCTCCCCCTCCCCCTCCCCCTCGCAGACCCTCCAGGAACGCAGCGCGTGGAGCTCCCGGGTGGTCCCGGGTGGTCCCACCGCTGCCCCTCCTGCCCCTCCCGCTCTCGGGGGCAACGTTCGGGGGGGGGAGCGGGGCTCGTCCCGACTCCTCCGGCTCGGGTCGCTTCGAGTTCGATCGAGTCCGATGCCGACTCAAAATTCGGCTCTGGGGTCCGGCTTGGGCTCCGATGTCTCAGTAAAGGCGTTACCAGCATGCCGATTTGATGTCTCCCGACTTGGCTGCCGACTGCCGTCGATCCGATGCAGTTCGATCTCCGACCTGGCTCATGGAATTCGATTCTTGGCTCTCGCGGGGACAGTGACAGGCTCAGGAAGGAGTGTATTGGCCCTCAATCGCCCAATCATCGCAGCGAGGGGCTCACGGCCTGCGCTTCGGCGCGACACGCTAATCACTGGGGATCTCTTGGAGGTCCTCTTGGAGCCCTCTTGGGCCATCTTGGAGTCGGACGCATATTCGAGCCAGATCAGGCTCTCTTGGGCTCTTGGACCACGTTGGCCATGTTCCGAGCGTATCGGGGCCGTCGAGGAGGCCATCTCGGCATTCTTGAACACACGTGTTTTGATTTTGCGGTGGTTTCTGGGTGGCCAGCAGGATGGCCTGAATCCACCGGGAACGTTTGGACGTGCCAAACAGAGTTAGAACAATTTGCCAAGCCGAAGCGTCATCGTCCCGAACCTTCCCAGCTTCCCGCCAGGCGAAGCGGAGCGACAAGCTATTCGCTCGCATGGCTTCAGGGCTCGACCTGAACGGTGTTTGGCGCCGTTTGCGTTTCGGGATCGTTCTGCAGCATCGGCGGAACGATGACAAGAACAGGGAAGCGAGAGCAACGCCAAATAGGATAGGTCGAGCCCTGCATGGCGCCGCGTGTCGCCGGGGCCGCCGCCGCGACACGCTGAGGAACAGTTCCTGACCGTACGGTTCAGTCGGGCCTGTCCCCCTCCAGGGGGATTTTCGACGGAAAATATAATTACCCTGTGACGTACCCAACCCATGTGTATCAATGGAAACGAGGAGTTGGCCGAAACTTGTATGGACAATCAACTAAACCTGTAAACTACTTGGGAGGCGTCACTGTGCTGGGCCCCGCAAGCAGGCCTCGAAAGTGGCGACAGTTTCACAGATCGCAGCCCCCCAGGGATGGCGAGGTCTAATTTGAATCTGCGTGTGGCGTCACTGTGCTGGGCCCCCCAGCAGGCCTCGAAAGTGGCGACAGTTTCACAGATCGCAGCCCCCCAGGGATGGCGAGGTCTAATTTGAATCTGCGTGTGGGTACCCACTGTGCTGGGCCCCGCAAGCAGGCCTCGAACGTGGCGACAGTTTCACAGATCGCAGCCCCCCAGGGATGGCGAGGTCTAATTTGAATCTGCGGTGGGTACCCACTGTGCTGGGCCCCCCAGCAGGCTTCGAAAGTGGCGACAGTTTCACAGATCGCAGCCCCCCAGGGATGGCGAGGTCTAATTTGAATTATGCGGTGGATACCCACTGTGCTGGGCCCCCCAAGCAGGCCTCGAAAGTGGCGACAGTTTCACTGATCGCAGCCCCCCAGGGATGGCGAGGTCTAATTTGAATCTGCGGTGGGTACCCACTGTGCTGGGCCCCCCAGCAGGCCTCGAAAGTGGCGACGGTTTCACAGATCGCAGCCCCCCAGGGATGGCGAGGTCGAATTTGAATATGCGGTGGGTACCCACTGTGCTGGGCCCCCCAGCAGGCCTCGAAAGTGGCGACAGTTTCACAGATCGCAGCCCCCCAGGGATGGCGAGGTCCAATTTGAATCTGCAGTGGGTACCCACTGTGCTGGGCCCCTCAGCAGCCCTCGAAAGTGGCGACAGTTTCACAGATCGCAGCCCCCCCGGGATGGCGAGGTCTAATTTGAGTCCGCCGTGTGTACCCACTGCGCTGGGCCCCCCAGCAGGCCTCGAAAGTGGCGACAGTTTCACAGATCGCAGCCCCCCAGGGATGGCGAGGTCGAATTTGATTTGCGGTGGGTACCCACTGTGTTGGGCCCCATCAGCAGCCCTCGGAAGTGGGGACAGTTTCACAGATCGCAGCCCCCCAGGGATGGCGAGGTCTAATTTGAGTCCGCCGTGGGTACCCACTGTGCTGGGCCCCCCAGCAGGCCTCGAAACGTGGCGACAGTTTCACAGATCGCAGCCCCCCAGGGATGGCGAGGTCCATTTGAGTCCGCCGTGGGTACCCACTGTGCTGGGCTCCCCAGCAGGCCTCGAAAGTGGCGACAGTTTCACAGATCGCAGCCCCCCAGGGATGGCGAGGTCCATTTGAGTCCGCCGTGGGTACCCACTGTGCTGGGCCCCCCAGCAGCCTCGAAAGTGGCGACAGTTTCACAGATCGCAGCCCCCCAGGGATGGCGAGGTCATCTGTGCTGGGCCCCCCAGCAGCCTCGAAAGTGCGACAGTTTCACAGATCGCAGCCCCCGATCGTCACCGGTGTGTACCCACTGCTTGGCCCCCCAGCAGGCCTCGAAAGTGGCGACAGTTTCACAGATCGCAGCCCCCCAGGGATGGCGAGGTCCATTTCAATCCGCCGTGTGTACCCACTGTGCTGGGCCCCCCCAGCAGGCCTCGAAAGTGGCGACAGTTTCACAGATCGCAGCCCCATCCACCGTGTGTACCCGCTGTGATGGCCCCCCCCAGCAGGCCTCGAACGTGGCGACAGTTTCACAGATCGCAGCCCCCCAGGGATGGCGAGGTCAGTCCGTGGTGTGTACCCACTGCGCTTGGCCCCCCAGCAGGCCTCGAAAGTGGCGAAGTTTCACAGATCGCAGCCCCCCAGGGATGGCGAGGTCCAGTTTCAATCCGCCGTGTGTACCCACTGTGCTGGGCCCCCCAGCAGGCCCTCCGACAGTTTCACAGATCGGCCGTGTGTCTGTGATGGCAGGCCTCGAATGTGGCAGTTTCACAGATCGCAGCCCCCCAGGGATGGCGAGGTCTAATTTGAACTGCGCTTGGCCCCCCAGCAGGCCTCGAAAGTGGCGACAGTTTCACAGATCGCAGCCCCCCAGGGATGGCGAGGTCCATTTCAATCCGCCGTGTGTACCCACTGTGCTGGGCCCCCCAGCAGGCCTCGAAAGTGGCGACAGTTTCACAGATCGCAGCCCCATCCACCGTGTGTGCCCACTGTGCTGGGCCCCCCAGCAGGCCTCGAAAGTGGCGACAGTTTCACAGATCGCAGCCCCCCAGGGATGGCGAGGTCTAATTTGAGTCCGTGGTGTGTACCCACTGCGCTTGGCCCCCCAGCAGGCCTCGAAAGTGGCGACAGTTTCACAGATCGCAGCCCCCCAGGGATGGCGAGGTCCAGTTTCACTCCGCCGTGTGTACCCACTGTGCTGGGCCCCCCAGCAGGCCTCGAACGTGGCGACAGTTTCACAGATCGCAGCCCCCCAGGGATGGCGAGGTCTAATTTGAGTCCGTGGTGTGTACCCACTGCGCTTGGCCCCCCAGCAGGCCTCGAAAGTGGCGACAGTTTCACAGATCGCAGCCCCCCAGGGATGGCGAGGTCCAGTTTCACTCCGCCGTGTGTACCCACTGTGCTGGGCCCCCCAGCAGGCCTCGAAAGTGGCGACAGTTTCACAGATCGCAGCCCCCCAGGGATGGCGAGGTCTAATTTGAGTCCGTGGTGTGTACCCACTGCGCTTGGCCCCCCAGCAGGCCTCGAAAGTGGCGACAGTTTCACAGATCGCAGCCCCCCAGGGATGGCGAGGTCCAGTTTCACTCCGCCGTGTGTACCCACTGTGCTGGGCCCCCCAGCAGGCCTCGAAAGTGGCGACAGTTTCACAGATCGCAGCCCCCCAGGGATGGTGATGTCAAAGGCAGGGGGGAAGAGAGGGACGGGGGGGGCGGGAAGGAAGGAGACGCGCGAGCAGCCCTATTCAAAACGAGACCCCAACGCAGGAGGCCTGGGAAATATTCAAAAAAACCTAATTTCTCTGTGACGTACCCAACCCATTTGTACCATGGGAAACGACGGGTTGGCCGAAACTTGCATGGAGAATCAAATTGCAGGATCCGTTGTTTGAAATTGGGGACTTTTTTGGATTGTTTTGGGCCTTTTTGGTGCATGTTTGGGGCACGGTTTATCCTTCGTCGAAAATCCCCCTGTAAGGGGGCACGCCCGACATAACCGTAACGTTGCTGCCCCGCCCTGCTGCCCCCTCCTGCTCCAGAGGGCGCAGCCGCCAGCGGCCCGGCGGCCGCGGAGCGCCGTGGAGCCGATGGGACCCCCGCGCGCTGCCAGCGCGCGCCCGCGCGCGGGGTGCGGTGGTGGGTTCGCTCCCCGGCGGTGGGGGTCAGGGGCTGCGGCCTCAACGGCACCGTAAGGGGTACTTACTAACGGGTACCTTGAATTTTTTGCCGAAAGTTGCCACTCTAGGGCCTTTTTCTTGCATTGCAGCTTTGCCCACATCGGGAAGGGTTGGGTTCGCTGGGTCACTGGCCAAAGTACCCGTTTGTGGAGTCCCCGTTTGAGGGGCGCTGACGGCCCGCAGGCCTGGGAGGGTTCGAGCACGAGGCCGAAACGTCGTCGGGGTGATTCGCTGGTCTTTTGCTCCGGAGGATGCTCGAGGTTTCCATGCTCGCGTCGTGGAGGAAACGCGGCGGAAGGCTTTCGTGAACATTGTCCTTCTCTGGGGACTTCACCGCGCCCTCGGACCGTCAGGAAGCGACTCAGGATGGAAGAGCAATGCTGGGGAAAGGCTCGGGACCCCGGGTTCAGATTTTCTGGACATCGGTCTCTGGGAATATGTGTCCGTGGCCCAGGTGCCCCCAGATTGTTGCTCCATGTTGTAGCTCCTGGGGCCCTCTTGGCTTAGCGAGGGGGGCCGTGGGGGCCTCCCTGGAGCTCCTGGCTGCACCTTGGGCTGGAGACACTTCTGGCAACACGCAGTACCCGATCACTACGGTTGTTGTCAGATGTTTTTGGCAAGTTGGTCCTGACCCAAACCGAGTCACTGCCGAACGCCCCGCCGAGTTGGGTTGGATTGTGCATGTCAGGGGGCGGCGTTCCGTACGTCCTTGGCTCCTCCGAGAGGGTCGGCCATGCATCGCTGTCCTGGCCCACAATCTGAGAAACACGGGTGCAACAGTTTGGATGGGCGGTGGAGGATTATGGTCAGGAACGTTAGCACAGCGTATCGCGCCGCTGTTTCTGGCCCAACACGCTTCGGCGCGACACGCTACAGTCAACCCGCGCAGTAAGGATGGACGGCCTTCCCAAGGGTACCCTTGCGTCCTCGCCTTCTCGGTCCATCCTGGGCCTCTTTCGTTGACCGCGCCCCGCTCGAGGAGCTTCGACACGGGCGCCCCGAGGCCCTTGCATCCTTTCCGCGCATCCTTGTGATACAGTCGGGGCCCTGAAGAAGGAACCCTTTTCGTTGGGGAGGGGCTCCGTGTTCCTTAATTGCTTCGCAGCCTGCCTTGGATTTTCCTTAGGCTTTCGATACGAGATCGAAGTTCAACTCATGGAAAAAAGGGGGGCCCGTTCCTTATTTAGGGTTCCCTTAGGTCAAGTACGCGCCGACTGTATCCACGCCCCAGCCCCCGAGCATCGAGGTCCCAAGCTTTGCCCGGCCGCCCGCCCCACGAAGCGGAGCGGCACGCTGTCCGCCCGCGTGGCAGGGCGTGCCGCCGGGGCCGCCGCCCGACCGCAGTGTGCAAAAGGTCTGGGATGCACCCTGTGGGTACTCCAGCTTTCGTGATGAAGGGAGTGGGGTCTCATTTCGGGGGGGGGGGTCCAGGCCCCCTCCCTTTTGTTACGACATCTGGAGTAGTGCTTCGAGCCGGGCTGGCGCAGGACCACTTTCAGAAGCAAAGGGAGTGCGCGTGTGGGGGGAAGCAGCCACGTTGCTTCGGCCAGGGGGGCCTGGCTGGGCGTGCGCGTTGCGAGACTCCGACCCCCTGGCTTGGTCTTGGGCCGCGCGTGGCGCTGCGCAGGCGGGGTCCTGCAGAGCATCGTGTAACATGTGGTATGGTTTTTCCCAACTGTCCTGTGGTGCTGGGTCCTCGTTTTGAAGAGGCTGTCCCCGCGTTCCTTCCCTCCTTCCTCCTCGCCCCCCCCTCCTCCGCCCGCATACGTCATGCACACCAATTTTTCAGCACAGCCCTCACACGTTGTGTGGCCCCGTCGGGAGCTTCACCGAAGAACCCAGTGGTGCCGCCCGCATGCGTCGGCCACCACCCAGCACAGCGTTCCGTGGCCCCATAGGGGGCTTCATCCCAGTGGGACCGCCCGCATGCGTCAGCCACCAGCCAGTATAGCGTCTCGTGGCCCCATATGGAGCTCCACCGAAGACCCCAGTGGCACCGCCCGCATGCGTCAGCCACCACCCAGTACAGCGTTCCGTGGCCCCATAGGGCCATAGGAAGCTCCACCGAAGGTCCCAGTGGGACCGCCCGCATGAGTCAGCCACCACTCGGTACAGCGTTTCGTGACCCCACGGGGAACTCCACCGACGGTCCCAGTGGGACTGCCCGCACGCGTCAGCCACCACCCAGTACAGCGCTTCGTGGCCCCATAAGGAGCTCCACAGAAAGGACCCAGTGGGACCGCCCGCATGCGTCAGCCACCACTCGGTACAGCGTTTCGTGACCCCACCGGGAACTCCACCGACGGTCCCAGTGGGACTGCCCGCACGCGTCAGCCACCACCCAGTACAGCGCTTCGTGGCCCCATAGGGAGCTCCACAGAAAGGACCCAGTGCGACTGCCCGCATGCGTTGTCCACCACCCAGTGCTGCATCTCGCGGCCCCATTGATTGGGAGCTCCACCAAGCCCGATTGGCACCTCCGCATGCGTCCCTCCCACGCGGTACAGCCTGTCGGGGCCCCGTTGGGAGCTCCAGTTGCCCGCCCGCATACGGCCCCCCACCCGGTACAGCGTTTCGTGGCCCCATAGGGAGCTCCACCGAAGGCCCCAATGGCACTGTGGCACCGTCCGCATGCGTCCCCCCTCTCAGTACAGCCTTCCGTGGCCCCATAAGGGGGCTCCACCGACGGCCCAAGTGGCACCGCCCGCGTGCGTCGGCCACCACCCAGTACAGCGTTTCGTGGCATTGTAGAGAGCTGCACAGAAATGCCCCAGTAGGACCGCCCGCATGCGTCGTCCACCACCCATTACGGCACGTCCCTCAAGCGTTTCGTGGCCTCATAGGGAGCTCCACCGAAAGCGGCACCCACATCGCGTTAGTCACAAGTGCATATGGTTTGGGTCCTTCGCCAGGATAATTTGTTCTGCTTGCAATTCTACTGCCGACTGGGGTATACCCAATGTTTCCTTAACAGTGTTAAGATGCTTCTTGCGAAATCTCAGTGGATCGTCACCCCGGGCATGTGAGTTGGCTTCTGGTTCATCATTGCTGCGTTTGCCACTGAACCGCAGGGCTTCTCGTTTTCCATGGGATGTAACGTTACCTTCTGTGTCGGACCGTGTCAATTGCCAACTGCGTGCTTCGGTGTCGGCCGCTTTTGAATTACACGGGCATGGAGACCCCAAACAGCAGCGCTACACGAGAATATAGCGCTTCAGATCTGGCTTACGGCCCAGGCACAGCCTGGCGCGCGGGCACGATACGGCACGCGCACTGCCTGTCACGCGGGCATAGATTGGCATGGCACGGCACATGTCGGAGGACTAGAGGTTGACACCAACACCAATATCGGCAATGCGCCTCCACCGAGGGGAGATGATCCCGAGCTCGGTGATGGTGGTGATATTCGGGCTCCCAGGGTGGCCGAACGATTGCCACCGACGCGAGAATCCAGGATCGCCCTCTCCTGGTGGAGCTAGCCCTCGGCTTTTGATGTTCCACCCTAAAGCCTCGGTGCTGGTTTTGACTACAATTTCTAAGCCTCCGGACGTCTTCCGCACCGCGCAGGTCGGGCACGGCAACGGCACTCGGGACCCTACCTCTAGTCCCATGCCGGACATGGCACTAGAGGTGTCGGTGCTCTCGAGTCCCGTGCCCAGGAGCGGTAGGTTCGACCGGACATGGCACTAGAGGTGTCTGACCCTCCGGTCTGGGCGCCCGAAATGGGCACGGAAAGAATGGGTACAATGCCTAACAGCAGTACCTGTTCATTCTGAACATGATTCGCTGTCCACGCCGCCGCGGCCTGTGTCCATTCGAGACAGAAGACCGCCTGCCCAACAGCGGCCGCTGTTGGTTTGGGACAACATGTGTTGCTGGGCATTGTACCCATTTTTTCCGTGCCCATTTCGGGCGTCCAAATCCGGACGTCTTCCGCACCGCGCAGGCCCGGCACTCCGCAGCGGCACACCTCGACCCATGCCAGCGCTCGGGCAAAGCACGCACGCACTTCGGGGCGAAGAACGGTATAAGATGACCTTTTTCGCTGCCGGGGGCGCCCGTCCCTGGGCGGCTGGAAAGTTTCTGCCCCCACGGTGCCACCGTAAGAGTATAAGCTTTCCAGCCGCCCTGGGACAGGGGCCGCCGACGGCGAACAAGTTTATTGCGAAGGCCTTACGGCCGTTGCCGCCGACCCTGAAGATGACGAAAGACAACACGAGGGGGGGGGCAGGAGGTGGAGGAGGAGGAGGAGGAGGAGGAGGAGGAGGAGGCGGAAGGGAGTAGGAGGAGGAAGGGTGAAGGGGGAGGAGGAGGAGGCCTTATGGATGTTGGTTGGGATCTCGTGGTTGACCTCTCGGGGGCGTCCTGGGACAGGGGCCGCCGACGGCGAACAAGTTTATATTCTATACCGTGCTTCGCCCGGTGAACGCACGGCACCACGGCACGAGGGCACGGCACGGCTCATATGGCCTTCGGCGCGCGGGGCACGGCGCGGCACGGTCTGTGTGTTTTTTTTTCTTGTCGGGCGGCAGGCGCTCTGTCGCTGGGCCCCCGCTTTCCACCACCACCACCACCATACGTCCCGAGGCCCGAAAAACCATCACTTCACTAAGTTTGGGCTCCAGGGGCCCACGGAGGCCCCCAGGGGCCCCAGAGATTAGTGAAGTGATGTTTTTTTTCCCACGTGAGGACCCCGAACTTCACCGCTTCACTAAACCGAGCCCGGGACGAAAGTCAGGGGCCGAATTGCTGCTGTGATGCCACATCGGCCTCGTATACGTTGGAGGGGGGAAAGGAGGTGGAGGCTGAGGACGAGGACGAAGAGGCGGGAGCGGAGGAGGACCCCCCATCCCCCTCCTACTTCTGGTGATGGCCTCAGTGGGCCCTGGAAACGACATGGCCGTTTTTCTACCGGTTCCGTTTTGCCGTTTTTGTTGCCGGTTCCGACGACGTTTTTTCACCAGTTCCGTCGCCGTTCTTTTACGGGTTCCCACTCCGGTTCCAATCCTGGAGCCGTTTTTGTTGCCGTTTCCGGTCGTGTTTTTTTTGCCGTTTCCATTCTCAAGGGACATTTTTTCGGAAACGGGCCTTGCCGTTTCCGGGGCCCACCAAGCCATCACCATACGTTGGAGGGGGGAAGGAGGTGGAGGGTGAGGACGAGGACGAAGAGGCGGGAACGGAGGAGGACCCCCTCCCCCTCCCACTTATGGTGGTGGCGCTGGGAAACAAGCCCACAATCTGTATGCAACGCATTCAATCCTTTGGTTCTCATTATAGAAGCGGTGAGCTCGATCGCATTCACTGCCGAAGGAGAGGAGGAGCGCCACCAGAGTAACAGCAGCACGGTGGTTTTCGATGGATCCCTGGTGCTGTCTAGTCCCATGTCCGGTCGAACCCTCGTTTCATCTGAGAGACGACAGGCAGGACCACACTTGCAAGGCTAACGTCTTGGTGCCTCCGTCACACGACTTGCCGACCGTGGCCACGCGGGAAGATGCAGGTAAGGCTGGCAGGCCACACATCCGAATATCTCAGTGACCTACAACGACGCGCGCACAATCTGAGTATACAGGCAGGCCCTACATCCGAATATTTCGGCGACCTACAGCGACGCCCACACGGTCTGAGCAGAATGCCCACCAGAATGCGATGCGGGCAGGGGCGTACCAAGGGGGCTTCAAAACTATAGTGTTTCTCTTCTGGCGGCCTCGTCCACACAGCCGCCCCGCTGCCCATGTTGCCGAAATGACAGCGTTGGGGTTTAGAGCCAGAGAGGTTATGGGAAGGCTCGGGGAGGGGAGAACTGAGATGAGGAGGAGGAGGAGGAGGAGGAGGAGGAGCAGGAGGTGGAGGACGAAGAGGACCATGTCGGAGTTGGCAATCGCAAGGCGCCTTGACAGTCGAACCGCATAGTAAGGAAGGGTAACCTTCCCAAGGGTACCCTTGCATCCTTGCTTCCTCGGCCCATCCTTGGCTATTTTCGTTGGCCGCGCCCTGCTCGAAAAAGCTTCGAAGTGGGCGTCCAAGGCACTTGCATCCTTATCGCGCGTCCTTCTGGTACGGGCCGACTGTAGTCGCGCGGCCCAGTCATTAGTCGGCGCGCGGGCGTGCTCGTCGGCGTACATCTGATGTTTCGGCAGTCCTTCTTGGGGCGCCCACGGGCAGTTTGTCCCAACCATCCTGCGGTGTTGGGTCCTCGGTTTGAAGAGGCGGCACCCCACGTTTTCCTCCTTCTTCCCGCCTCCTTCATCCTCCCCCTCCTCCCCCTCCTCCACCTCCCCCTCCTCCACCTCCTGCGTTTCGCCCACCCAGTGCAGCGTGCGCTTCGTGGCCCCATAGGGAGCTCCACCGAAGCCCCCAGTGGGACCGCCCGAATGCGTCAGCCACCACCCAGCATCGTGGCCCCATGAGGCGGCTCCACCGAAGACTCCAGTGGCACCGCCCGCATGCCTGAGAGAGCGGGATCCACCGCCGCTTTACTGTGGAAAATTGCCAACCTTTTCCTCCGGAACCCGGGGGTCGCCCCCCCCCCCCCTCCGAAAACCCCCCCCCCCCCCTGCTGGAACCCCTCCCCCCCCCCCCCCCCTCCCCCGGCAAAACCCCCCCCCTCACCCCTAACCCCTCCCCCCCCCCCTCCCCTCCCGCTCGAAAACCGGGGGGGGTCACTACCGGTTCGAACCCCTCCCACCCCCCCCCCCCCCCCCCTCCGGATCCGGAAAAACCGGGGGGTCACTACCGGTTCGACCCCCCCCCCCCCCTCCCCCCCCTACTCACCTCACCGCCAGCAAACGACTCCCGGTCCCCACCACCGTCCGCATCACATCCCCCACTGGTGTTCCCAGCACCACTGTCCTCACCACCGCTGTCCCCACTGTCCCCACCACTGTCCCCACTGTACCTCTGTCCCATTGTCCCACCGCCGTCCTCGCTCGCCACCGCCTTCACCACTGTCCCCACCACCATTGTACCCTCCACTGTCCCACTGTTTCCACCTCATTCCCATTGTCCCCACACCACTGTCCCCACCACCACCGTCACCACCACTGTCCACTGTCCCCCCCTGTTCCCACCATTGTCCCCACCACTGTCCCCACCACTACCGTCCCCACTGTCCCACTGTCCCCACCACTGTCCCGCTATCCCCTCACCACTGTCCCCACCAACACCGTCCCCACCACTGTCCGCACCCCCACTCGGTTTTCGAGGGGGGGGGGGGGTTCGAACCGGTAGTGACCCCCCCCGGTTTTCCGGATCCGGAGGGGGGGGGGGGGGGGGTTCGAACCGGTAGTGACCCCCCCCCCTTTCATGATGAGCAGGGGGGGGGGGGGGGGGGGTTCGAACCGGTAGTGACCCCCCCCCGGTTTTCCGGAGGGGGGGGGGGGGGGGAGGGGTTCGAACCGGTAGTGACCCCCCCCGGTTTTCCGCCAGCAGCGGTAGAACACGCTCTTTCGCATGCCTCAGCCACCACCCAGTACAGCGCTTCGTTGCCCCATAGGGGGCTCCACCGAAGGTCGCAGTGGGACCGCCCGCATGCGTGAGTTCCCACCCATTACAACGTTTCGTGGCCCCATAGGGAGCTAACCGAAGGTCCCAGTGGGACCGCCCGCGTGCGTCAGCCACCACCCAGTACAGCGCTTCGTGGCCCCATAGGGAGCTCCACCGAAGGTCCCAGTGGAACCGCCCGCATGCGTCAGCCACCACCCAGTATAGCGCTTCGTGGGCTCATAGGGAGCTCCACCGAAGCCCCCAGTGGCACCGCCCGCATGCGTCAGCCACAACCCAGTATAGCGCTTCGTGGCCCCATAGGGAGCTCCACCGAAGGCCCCAGAGGCACCGCCCGCATGCGTCAGCCACCACCCAGTACAGCGCTTCGTGGCCCCACAGGGAGCTCCACAGGAGGCCTCATTGACACCGCCCGCATGCGTCAGCCACAACCCAGCACAGCGCTTCGTGGCCCCATAGGGAGCTCCACCGAAGGCCCCAGTGGCACCGCCCGCATGCGTCAGCCACCACCCATCAGCGTTTCGTGGCCCCATAGGGAGCTCCACCGAAGGTCCCAGTGGAACCGCCTGCATGCGTCAGCCACCACCCAGTACAGCGTATCGTGGCCCCGCAGGGATCTCGACAGAAAGACCCCAGTGGGACCGCCCGCGTGCGTTAACCACCACCCCGTATTGCATTTCGCGGCCCCATTGATTGGGAGCTCCACCAAGCCCCAGTGGTACCGCCCGCATGCGTCCCCCCTACACGGTACAGCGTTTCGTGGCCCGGTAGGGGGTTCCAGTGGTCCGCTTGCATGCGACCCCCCACCCAGTACAACGTTTCGTGGGCCCATAAGGAGCATCACCGAAGACCCCAGTGGCACCGCCCGCATGCGTCCCCCCTCCCATTACAGCGTTTCGTGGCCCCATAGGGAGCTCCACCGAAGCCCCCACTGGCACCGCCCGCATGCGTCGGCCACCACCCAGTACAGCGCTTCGTGGCCCCATAGGGGGCTCCACCGAAGGTCGCAGTGGGACCGCCCGCATGCGTCAGCCACCACCCAGTACAACGTTCCGTGGCCCCGTAGGGAGCTCCATAGAAAGACCCCAGTGGCACCGCCCGCATGCGTCTCCTCCAACCGTACAGCGTTTCGTGTCTCATCGGGAGCTCCAGCGAGGTACACCACCCGCATGCGTCCGCCACACCCT